GAAGAGTTGCTTGTGTGGTTGCATATGTTTGGGTGGGCTTGTTTTGTGGGGAGCCTAATAAGTAAACACCAGACCTTGTGGGGGTACGTGTCTTCATTATGGGCACAATAAGCAAGCCTCTGTTATGGAATCACAATATTTGAATTTTTTGAGTGTCAGAGTTTGGCTGAATCCTTAAAAGTATACCTCAGATCTTTAGAAATGTGGTTTATAAAAGCGTCATAAACAATCAATGTCTTACCTGTTGTAGATAGCTTTCTCAAAGACATTGGGTTGGGGAAAATAGTTTAACACTCAATTGCTGGGCTTTAAATCAACTTCAGTATCAAAATTTTTCAAGTGGTACATGAAAACACTAATTTTAAAAGTTTTACAAAGCCCTTGATTGTGCATCACATTGCTATTCCTGTAGAAAAGTGATGCTTTTGCAGAAAATGCCCCAGACTGCAGTGGAAGTGGTACAATGTGATGCTACTGTAGCTGCTATTTGTGTCAGCAAATAACCAGCAAAATTATCTGATAATATTGGTGATGGCAATGTGAAAACTGATAAAATGATATTTGCTTTTGACGCCACCATAACTAGCTATTAGCTTGTCAGTAGTGCTAGGAATGTTACGCTGAAAAAGTAATTACTTATAGTCATAAATTGTTCTATTTAAAATGCTATAACAGTGTAACTATTTCAGTTAGGTAAAAATAAATAAATAAATAAATAAATAAATAAATTATTATGAATTATGCATTACCTGTTTACCAAACCCTGCTTGTTAGACTGGTCAAAACTACTTTGTATTTCTCCAAACTGAAGTGATTCAAACAACTATCTACAACAGGATATACAACAAGATACTGGTTGTCACCTTTCAACAGAGCCCTAAATCAAAAGCTCTGAATAATATTTTAAGCCATAATTATAGCTTTATTTAGAGTTACCCAAAAAGGTTTCTTTTTTTTCTATGTTTGTTGTTTTTTTTTTTCAACATAAACTTTGTGATTACAAAAAAAATAAAAAAATCTGTGACATCATGTATTAAGTGCGAGTGCCTGTCCAAGAAAACGTCCATCTGCTTATCTGTCCACAGAGATGTGAACTGTACTGCTATGTGTCTCAAGTAACATGGGATCATTGTTTTAGAAATCAATAATGGATTGTGTTTCAATCTATGCTCTCATCACTAATGTGGCAATTGAAGGCTGTGGGTATATTTGTGCACATGGTGCAGGAAGCACCTGTTTCACCCAGAGAAAGAAACACATCCCTACACGAGGAGTGACATATCCCATTTCCTGTTGTTCTTTCTTTTTTACTCATTGTTTCACTGAAATAAAGACATACTAAGGCCTTGATATCCCAAAGTCAGTTTTCAAAGCAGCCATTCAACGAAATATGAGTGACGAGGAAGGAAAGCATGCTGGGTGACACAAACTGGACAGGAAGCCATTTAACCCTCCTGTTGTCTTCATATTCTGTATACACCCTTTCTCCTTCACTAAACCCCAAAATAAATAGCTGAATAGCTTAATTTTAATTCTAAAAATTCTATATTTGCCTGGAGGAACAACTTGTCATTCACCAGAAATTGAGTGAATGCCTGAATTTTCCCTTTTCACATTGCAGAAAGACTGCATTAATTCAGGAGGTACCACTCATTTTAATGACTGTTTTTTTTTTTTTTTTTTTTTTTTTTTTTTTTTTTTTTTTTTTG